CTAATTAATTACCTTTTTATGTTGGCAAAAAATTACTCCTTCAGTATGTAACGTAAAATCTACTTAACAAATTTGATTAGATTAAGAAAGTTAGGGAAGTTAGTTAATTATAAAAAAAAAATATGACATGTTTTTCATAAAACACTATAATCATCTTTCTTAATATTCTTCCTTCCTCTCCTACTTGGTTATGATTAAGTGAGTATCAATAGGGGTAATTTAGGAAAAAATGATAAATATGAAAAATAGATCTTGTATTTAAGACCATAATCAACTCAACAATTAGGTCCTATATTAAGAATTGAAGGAGTATCTTTTTATACTTATACCTTGTTTTAGAAATAAAACAAGGTCTAAAATAATTTGAGTCAATGTGTTTATTAATTTAGTCAACCCTATAACTTAAATCAACTTATTTTTTTCACACGAAAAATCATTTTAATTAGATATCAATTAAAGTTTATAAATTAAACTAAACACTTGGACCCAATTCAATTGTTGAATAGAATAAAGCCCTTATAACGTGGCCGCATCCTATTTGACATGTCTTATTTTCACAGTTAGAAGTATCAATCACCTTTGTCTCATATCTTTGAATATAAAGATGAACATCTGCAAGATGAGTGATAAGTAGTTATGGAACAAGTCCATTCAATTAATACAAGTTATTTGAAAAGAGCTTACATTAATTAGATAATGCTACGTGGGGAACAAAGAAGTAGTCCTATTTATTGGCCTAATATATGATTAAACTTTGGGGAACATTATTAAAAAGTGGAGAGGGTGTATTATGTATCCTTAATGCATAGTTAAACTTATCCTTTGTTAGATATCTTTTATTGGTATCATTTGATATCTTTATAGATATGATTTGATTTGTATTTATTTGTGTTTATTGTTATTTTTTTAGGGAAAAGTAGAGTTCTTTGACGCAAATTCTGGATAAAGAAGTTACAATCTCAGTAAATTCAAACCAGTAACTCCAAAAGTTCAAACAAAAAAAAATAGTGATTCATTTGATGTACTTTTGAAATAAATTATAATTCTAAAGAAAAATGAAGATCTATAAACAAAAACTAGAACCGTGTGCTTCTTTTGGGGATTGTAATGTTGGCCAGCACCACTAAAAAAACTGAAGCTATTGCTTACTAGCCATCGGCATTTACGTTTACATATAGGCATTCAAGTTGCAGCTACAAGGCGATTGAATACACATAAGCGAAATATTAATGGGCTATCATCATGATTTGTATTTATTTTTGTGTTTATTATTATTTTTTTGGGGAAAAGTAGAGTTCTTTGACGCAAATTCTGGACAAAGAAGTTACAATCTCAGTAAATTCACACCAGTAACTCTTCAAACCAAAAAAATAGTGATTCATTTGATGTACTTTTGAAATAAATTATAATTCTAAAGAAAAATGAAGATCTACAAACAAAAACTAGAACCGTGTGCTTCTTTTGGGGATTGTAATGTTGGCCAGTACCACTAAAGAACTGAAGCTATTGTTTAATAGCCATCGGCATTTATGTTTGCATATAGGTATTCAAGTTGCAGCTACAAGGCGATTGAATACACATAAGCGAAATATTAATGGGCTATCATCATAACCTTGAGGTCACCGCTAGCAACCGCAACTTGAAAAGAATGATTAATTGGTGGCTCATCCTTTTCTAACAACTTCATCACCAGCTCTCTATCATCTTTGCCTATAGCTCTAGCTATTTTATTTGTATCCTTTAAAAATTTAGCCTCTGTCATAAGTGGACACATTTGGATAGTGCTTGAAGACCTGTAACGTTAGCATCTAGGCAGCCCCTTGGCAGCCATAACGGTCGTCCCTCAAAGATAAGAGGTTGAGCAGATGAGTTACATGAACATAAAAAATAGAAACGTTGAAGTTTATATTGGCTCCTCTTGGGTGAAGGTGGGGAAGAGACACGGGTGGTGGTGGTGGGGGAGAAGGAAAAGCTTCAAGGATGTTGTGAGCTAGGAAAGGCATTTCCTCCAAGCATTGAAACTGCCTGATTTTAGCTTGGAAGGCTTCTGACTCCATTTGCAAGCATTGGAGCTGGAAGCCTAGTCTAACTCCAGCGAGTTTCCTAAATCATCTCAAGAAGGTGGAATACGGTCAAATCATCTTGGATAGTGAGGTCTTGCCATAGTATCAGAATGCGCGTAGCCTTGACGTGATGGCAGGAGTGGGGATGGCTCCGGCCCTTTGTGCTCATAGAAGGAGTAACAAATGCATATTTTTCTTGAAAATGAAAATCAAGCTGTGATACCATGTTATAAATAATGAGAAAGATAGAAAATCAGGCTTTGATACCATTTGAATCTCTCACAATGAAAGTCAGAAAGTTGCTTTGCTTGTAATGTCATCAAATTAAAAACACAATCAAAATTAATTTTCTAGATATATATATTATCTTCAGGTCCTTCCTAGAGCATCTTCATGGATTCATTTTGGATTTCTCCATTATATGATCATATATTCTACTAAAGTCACTTGCATTCCCAAATTCTAAACCAATGCTTTTCCCTATGAGGCAAGAATCTAAAGGAATAATAATATGTATTTTCTCATAAAGAAAATTTAAAGCACATATCTTTCATATTTACCATAAAGTTCTGGCAATGATTGGTTTTTTGCCGGTCATTGAAATTCATTTCAACTATTTGCTTCCAAACCCTATTACTTTAGGCTATTTACATAAAAGTAGCATGTGTTCAAGCATTTTAGCATTATTTCCACAAACAGCATATCAATCCCATACTAACAACCTCTCTTTTTTAAAGTTTTAAATGATGGAAGAGCATTTAATAACAATATTCCACAAGAAAAATTCGACTTTGTTTGGTATTTTGATTTTTCAAATTGTTTTCTAATGAAATGTCAAGTGCAGGGAATTCAATTTAGTGTAAGGAAAAGTCCTGCATTAGATAGAATTGAGGTAGAAAAGAGATATACAAGTGAAAAAACCTATCTAATGTCTTAAAGCTTTAGGTTAAAATGTGGTATAGTGCTTATTTATATTCATCCTTTTAGAATTCTCTTCCCGCTCCCAAATTGAATAAATAGCACAAGCTCTTTTGACCTGGTCGCTAGAAACCTCTCGTATTAGCCATTCATTTATATACGTTGCAATCACTTCATTCATTTATTTTCATTTATACCCACACAAATATAAAATTACTTCATCCACATGGCATAGGGCTCTTGAAAGATCTGTTTCGTTTGACTTCGTAGGCCATCTTCCATAAAAGGCATTGGATCCCAGCGCAATGCTTCTTTCATAGCCTAAGCAGTATCCTTTCTTATCCTTTATATGGGAAATTCAATTCATGTGTCTTCTTTATATGCTTTTTTTCCCCCTCTTTATAAGGCAGAGAGATAAGGTTTTTCTTGATCTCATTTATAAATCACTTTATTAAATTTTTAGTATGAATATACTATTTTGTTTTTCATTTATCATGTTATAGATCGTTATTTTTTTAAAGTATATATATTAAATAGGGATAAAATTGAAAAGTTATTATATTTTAATCGAAAGTTAATACATTTTTAGGTTGTTCTTAGTCTGTATGAAATATGTTGAAAGTACTATATAAATAGCGCTACAGGTATATATTTTAGTGAGTTGAAAAAAAATAGTCTTTTAATCACCCCACTTCATCCATTGGATCTTTCATTTCTAGGACCAACACATTTCCTTAAATAGCCATAAATCATTAACTTTCTTTTTTAAGTCTGCTACACCTTTAGCTAAGCCATCATTCCGTGGCCCTTCAATTATTTCTTGAATTTTTGTCATTATCTTTTTAGTCAACTTAGAAGGACATGAACGTTCTATTGTCTCTTTGTTTGCCATTGTTTGCAGAATTAGAATCTGACTAGAAACCCATTTAAAATTTTTAGTGAACCTTAACCTGTGTGTTTCAGCTGTTTAAATGGTCAAACAACTGGAAATTTATGTGGTTTATGTGGATTTAATGGATACTATTTGCTACTATTTTTTTAGTTTATGGTATGTGATCTTCGTCTTAGCAATTAAGTGTGGCTTTAAACTCATGAACTCAGGGATTCTAGAGGCTTTTGGTTTTGGTCCAAAGCTTCACTCAATTTGATCTTATATTAAGATATATTAAGAGCATAACATTTATCAACTTTTTGGACGAAACTTATACTAAGATATAAAAATTATTTCTAATCACATCCTCCCTTTTTCTCATGCATAATCTGCCTAAAAAGACCTAAAAAAGAAGGTTTAAATTAAAATTGTAAAAAATCAAAAAGGGAAATAGGCTGGCCCACTTTTATATGGAATGGGTCAGGCTAAAGAGGCCCATTTCTTCTTGGAGGCTCGAATTTTGAAGCCCAGTCCATTCATTTTAATACCAGTCTGCTCGACCAACGCCGATAGCCCGTGCTCTGGAATCTGGATTTAGCCAGTTTGGTTTTGACGCGAGTAAGGCAGGGCCAGGGGGGTTCTTAAACTAGCCCGCCAAAACAAATAAATGGATTGGTCCTTCCGGGGAAACTCCATTTTAACGTCGGGGGTTTTACAGAGAATTTGAAAGGCATTCCTTTTGTAGTACAGTCACAGCGGGCAAGGAGCTATGCATAACAGGAGAGAGCTTTGTAGAAATTATCAGCGAGGCAGGTGATTCTTTTTCATATTCTACCTAGTTTTGTTTCTACCTGTTTCAACGTTTCATTTGCGAAACGTTGGTTGGGATCCTTTTCGGTATGTTAAGCAAACCACAAACAAAAGCAAACAACGCAGTTTGATTTCTCGAATTCATTTTCGTTTATCTTCTAATCTGTATTAGTCTCTCTTTTGTTGGCCTGTCTTTGTAAAGGCAATCGCTTAGTAGCATCCGCTCGAATTTTGATATTGTGAATCATCAATTAGCAGCAATTTGGTTGATTGCAAGTCTGTTTACGGACAGTTAATCCGGGCTAAGTTTTTTTTTTTTTTTTTTTTGGGGTTTGAGCAATGCCAAGAGAGCACAATGTCTTTACTTTTTCTTACTATCTTTCTCTCATGGACTGTGAATTTCGTTAATGGTGGGTAATGATCCTATTTATCGCCCACCTACTGGGAAGCAGACGAAGAGCAAAAATGGTGTCCTATCCGGCGCCCGTGCTACATGTATTGTCTTACGACAAAACACTTAGCCCATACTTTGTTTAAAAGAAAATTGTGCTGAAGCCAGACTCCAAACCGAACATTTCTTCCGAAAAAGATATAAAAAACTCACCTTTAAGGTCATTCGGCTGTCTTCACGAAGCTTTCATTTTTCCAGTAATTTTAATGATAGACTTGTTGAAAATTCTGCTTTGTTGCAGGAAGTGCTTGTCTTGTTAAGCTTTTCTTCTTTGGCCTGTAGGAAGATTTGGAATTTCGATTCTTGGGGCTCTTACAGTTATTCTTTCTTCAATCATAAAACTTGTAGTCCAAATACATGTTACCTTCGTTTGCCTGGGCTTTTCTGGAAAGACAGGGTTCCTTATAATGTGAAGGCTTTTGCTCAGACGGTGATGCTTAGTAGAATTATTACAATCAATGTGCCTTGGGTTAATGGCTTGATCACGCTTTATCACTTGACGTTTGTGTGACGTGTTTTGGAAGTTCAGAGATGAAAAGCCATATATTTTTTCATTGGGAAGTGGCTTGACCTGGCTGAATTGAAATGGGCTGTTTGAATTCTATGACACGAGAGCTAGGTTTGTCCAGCTAATCTTTGGGCTTCTCTAGCAATAAACTTTATGAGGTTTGAGAGGCAAAAGGCGTGTAAAGTCCTCCGTCACGTGCTGTATTTGGTGATTTGTGGTTTCTTTGGTACAGAATGCAATAGTTTTTTATTAGAGGGGGTTGGGGGGTTTCCTTATGAATTTTCAAAGGGATTGAGAGTCCTTTTTGGTATAATAAGCAAGTTGCTTTGTATTGTGTTTTACTTGTTTAGGGAGGTTCTGTTGCCCGCTATTTTGGTATTTTCTTTATTATTCTCTCTTTTGGTTGGTAAATTCTTTTTTTTAAAAAAAAGAAGAAGAAGAAAAATTTGTCATAGAGATGGTGATGGTTTCTACTCAGTTCATAGATTTTTTTTTTTTTTTGTTCTAAGGCACAACTGAAACGACCCATGATTTCTTTTATGAGGTTGTTGAGGCTGTGTTCAGCTATAGTAATTATGATGCATGGTTTATTGTCAAACAATGGTACAAGCTTGGGAGTTGTGAAAAGTGTAGATCCGGATAGTTTCATATTGAAGACTTAAGCACTAATGTTGTAGTTTGGTGAGCAATCCGAGTTATGAAGGCCAACTACTATTTATGGGAAGTATGTAAGACTTCTCAGTTGCATCACTTTGTTAGTGATGTGGATCAAAGAGAATGACTGGGAAAAGTTGAGGGTGCCACTAATGGGAAGAAAGTCAAAGCTTTCTTTGAGCTATTTGTCAACTAAGGACTGTTGGTTTCTTTTCTCCCGGCTTTAATTTTTCTGAATTTTTCAGAAATTTGTTAATTTATTTACTGAACAGATTCATTTCCATATTTTGTGCTTTATTATGGACTCTTGCTTTGTGCTGGCTTGCAGATCTTTCTACCATTGATTTAGTCAAGTTGCTATTGACTGATAATTTTAGAAGTATTTTATATTTCTCACAGGATATTGGTGTTTTTAATCATTTTTTTGGTTCATGTGATTCATCTTTCAGCTGCCAATATGGAGAAAGGTGTAAATTTCTTCACACGCTGCCGCAACAGCAAAAGCAAAGTACCAATCCTTTTGGATTTGGGTCCCACTCCAGTTCGCACCAAAAACAAACTGCCAATCCTTTTGGATTTGGGTCCCACTCCAGTTCACAGCAACAGCATAAGACCAATCCTTTTGGATTTGGTGTGCAGAACAGCTCCCAGTCAATGGGGGGCACTAGCTCAGAGTTCAAACACCAGTTCAAGGTTCTTCCTCTTCCTGTGTATGTAGTTAGCGTACAAGGTTTTTTTTTTTTAAAAATAAAATAAAATAAAATCCCACGTGTTGAATGAAAATGTTCTTTATAGGTCTCCAATATGTATGAATTCCTTGACTTAATAATGTGCAGAAGATATGATATTATCTTTCATTAACAGAAACAAATCCTTATCAATTTTTGTTAGTATTGATGATGATTTACTTGTTGAACAGCCTTTTGATAACAAATGGACTCGACCTTCTTCCTCACCCCAAAGTAGTGCTTCACGAAAAACTGATGCCAATTCTCAACAAGCGAATCATAAGTAAGTATTGATCAATTGGACTTTATTTTAACTGCAGCTACCTTATAATAGTGTGTTAACAAGCCAACACAGGGAGCTAGAGCATTTGCATCACATGTTGGGCGTTTCTCCTTGTATTGGAATGAAAGCATAGCTTGGGCCGAAAAGTCCACAATGTGCGTAAAAGATGTCCTAGTCATGCCTTTATGTTAACTGAATTATGATCTTCAATATTAAAGATGTAGCATTTTTGGTGAATTTAATGTATTTTAATCATTACGTTGTATCTTGCAATAACATCATCTTCTCTCTTCACCACCAAAAAAAAAAAAAAACACAAATATTTTCTCAGAAGAACTCTAAATTTAAATTTGAAGTTCAAGCCACCAGAGCATTAATTTCATTATCATGTCCAAATATGTTTAAAAGATCTCTATAATCATAAATAATTGTATTGTATTGAAAGTATGTGTTCCGTTGTATTTCATTTTCTCTTATCCACATACTTTGCAGTTATATATCTTTACTTACTAGAGAGAACATACACCTTGTTGGAGCATAAGATATACTTCAAACGGAAAGCATGTGACAATGTTTTAAAACAAAGCAAATTAACTAAGTGCATATCAAACTTCAGGCTTGTTTGAATTGCTACTGAATCGTGCTTCTTTCGAAGCTGCTTTTCAAATGGATTTTCATAAACAGCCAGAAAAAAACCATTTGTTACTCTCTTATCAATAATGTTTGGCGAATATTTCAAAATAAAGGTCTTCCATGCTCCAATTACTTAAAAGGGCAGGCAATCTAGGAGTAGATGAAAGAGTTGTAGGTAATTAGTGGTTTCTTTCTTTCGTTCTTGTTTTTTTTTTTTCGTAGAAGGGTATTTTTTTAAAAAATTTTGAATGAGATTTCGAATCAATCCATATTGATTGACTACCTCCATTATGTTGTTGCTAGCAAATACTACTATTTTTGGTTTTGGATCTTCCAAATCATTCCCGCAAGAGGTCCAAACCCATTTTTTTTCCCCTGATCCTTCGATGAAAAGATTCGTTCTCTTTATAAAAAATAGGAGGTAGAACTAATAAAGATTTCTTTTTTGATTCATCCCTGGAGTTGAGTAGAGGTAAATACGAACTATGGTAATTCGTAATATTGATTGGGGATATTTTTGTTTTCCAAAAATAATTTCCTGCTTATATTTTGCTTCCAAGGAAAAGTTCCAATTTCTACTTCTTTCCATTAGTTGAAGTGCACTTTTTCTGCTGCTCTAAAGGAACCATTGTTGTGCAAAAGAGTGTTTTGTAGACTTTGGAAATAATGGTTCCTTTAGAAAACTCATTATAGAGTGCCAAAGGGGAGCCATATACACAATTTTATCACACAACAGATTAAAAAAGTATATATATGCTCTGCATTAGGTTTGATTCTATCTGTTACGTTGTGTGCACTAAATCTTACGTGATGTCATTGAAGGTGCACAGATCCTGAAGCTTGCAAACGTCAGATTGTAGAAGATTTTGAGCAAGAGAAACCGCTTTGGAAGCTTACATGCTATGGTCATTCTAAAGGGTAGGTACTTATTTTTATACGTTTATGGCATGAAAAGCTTTGGTGCTTGCCATCACTCTAAACATCTGGGGCTAGAAGCCTTAATGAATTTGCACCTTGAGTGGGTGACAAGTGTCATTATTTTGTCTGTCCCAGAACAAGTAGAGGTCTATCATGTTTTGCACACATTTTGGTTGCAGTGTTTCTTAAGCTGATGCATCTGGTTTTGCCTTGTTTTTCTCTCTTCCCTTCTCCATGCCATTTTCTCGTATATAATCATCTTAGCTCATAATAACCTTTTGTTGCAACAGAAAAGAGAGAAATAACTTTTTTAGATTGCTATACACATACTCTTGTAGGCATAGGGGCTTTTGTTGCAAAGTATCAGGACTTTGTCGTAGTTGTAGCAAATCATTATCATCATATCCCTTGTATATAGTTTAGTATAAAATTAGTATGAAAGGCCTCCTCTTCCACAAAATAAGGAATTTAGAAGGGAGGGACGATCTATATCACTACTTTAATAGAAAATGTTTAGTTACATAAAACATAGAACTTGAAATAATCAAGGGTTATGGTTGAACAAGCTAACCCTTAAGGAATTAGGAGTTGATGAAAATCTGTTGCCGGTTCCTATTATGCTAAATGAAAAGTAAGCATTGCAGGTAGAACGGAACCTTTTCCTGGCCAAGTTTGACAGAGGTGATTATAAATCACCCTTTTTAGAGTATATTTCAGGAAACAATACTCTGATTATCTTTTGAGTATACTGCAGGAAACAAGACTCCAATTCTCTTTTGCTTGAACGAGATAAAAAGCGTAGTGAAATAAAAATTTGACTTAATTTTTTTGGTTTAATGCAGTGCTCCTTGTGACATTGTTGGTGATATTAGCTATGAAGAATTGCGGGCAGCTGCATATGAGGATGCTAAACGGGGGATGACCTTACAATCAATTGTAAGTTGACTGTCAAGTTTATGAAGTCATTGAATGTAATAGCTGGCCTCCTTCACTCTGACTCCGATAATTTGTGATTAATCATGTTGAAAAATTCCATCTAGAAATCTCATTTGGTAATTTAGTCTTCTCCAAAGTCACCTCTCACGTTTGGACAATTATACCCTACAGGATTAATATATCATTGTAGATTTTTAGGTCAGGGGATCTTCTCTCCTTATATTTGCAATGTATTGGGCCAGCTTGCAAACGGTTTCATCAGTATATTTAAATGTCCTCACTGCTATCTAAATTTGGATTAGGCTCTTGTCTGTTTGGTGTTTCTATGGCTTATGCTGCAAAGCCTAGAAATCTCAAATTGTGGAGGATCACGAAAACCTCTAGAAAAATATTGGTTATCAGTCAGAGTGGTCCCATAGTCTGACTGGACAACTGAGAGGGGAAAACATATTTATTTGTATTTAGTGCCATTAGAGAGCCAAACTGGATCATAAGAAGATGTCAGGCCTTTTAGGGTTTTGATACCATGTAGAAACTCAGGGTTTTTCCGATTTTGATGTTCTGTTATTTGTAGATAAGTGTTCAAACACAAGTAGGGAAGATGGCCACAATCATATCTCATCTAATCCCTCACAATCATCATATTCAAAAATGAAAATATCCAAGAAAGTGAATTACATTAAAGCTCATTCAAATATATATATATATATATATATATATAAATTGGACATCCTAAACTAATTCACTCTTGCCATAGGAGCCGCATGCCTTCTTATTAACCTGCACTTGATTATTTTGAGCAGTTGGAATGCTTCCCTAAGCATTTGGAATGCTTCAAGTGAGAGAAGTCTTTGCTGTAATTAAATGTTATATAGTACCATTATAAATCTTGTAAATGCATTCAAAACACCTCGTACATTAGAACCTGAAATGTTGGTGGAGCGTAAAATAGGCAAGAAAGGACTATCAGGAACTCTGGACCTTTTGAATCTAAAAGGCAGTTTTCATCTAACCCTTGTTGATATCTAAATTTGAAATCCAATTTTTTTTTTTTTAAAAAAATTTCAGCTCAGTTTATATCACATTATTTGTTTTGGAAATTTATTTGAAATTTAATTCAAAATCTCACCTGAGCATGCACCTTAAATTTTGTATTTCATAGCACACAGTGAATTCATTATTTGAATATGCTTTTTGCTCTTTTCATGTTGGAAGAATTTCAGAAAAGCAACCCCTTTTAAGAATATTTACCTTGGAGTTGCTTTCAAGAGTTGCTCTTCCAAAATTCTGCCTCCTTTTTTCCTCTGGAACTCCTTGATTTAAATTGGTGATGGATTCATTGTGCCTTTGATTTTCTAATGATTACTGATTTTTTTTTTAAAGTTAAATGCCGTTTATTCTGTCCAAATAGTGAAAGATTATGTTGGTCCAGGTGGAGAGAGAGAGAAATCTACTAAATTCCAAGTTAGTGGAGTTTCAGAACCTTCTTCGTGAACCTTACAAAATACCGCTGAGTTCTTCTCTTACAAGTGATAAGCATCAGTCTCTTGGAATTGATGCAAACCCATTTTCAAGGACTTCACTAGATAATAATCCTCTGTCTGTCTCTAGCTTTAGTCAACTGGGGGCTTCAATGAACATGGGTATTGAAAGGTAAGTGGTGCTTATTAAATTTATTGTAAATCTTTAGTATCTCATTTTGCTTACGCATTGCAACTAGGGATTTCCATTACTACATAAATGAGAAGGTAAACGGGTATTGAAAGGTAAATGATATAATCTCTCATCCTTGGGAGATGCCATCAGTTTTAGCCAAGTTGCAAAGGAAAAAAGCAAAATAGTGAAGGAAAAATGATGAAATCTCCTATCTGTTTTTTTTTTTTTAACGCTAATTTTCTTCAAATTTATGTGGCATTTCACACTTAATGACTTTCGTTTTACTGCCTGCTCTTGGCATATGGTGACCTCTTTGGAGCATTTTTCTTAGGCCTTTTGCACCCCCAGTAGATACTCTGGCTCAACGTAGCTCCTTTGGAACTGGAGGCATAGGTTTGGTTTAGTTCAGAATCACTGTGGCTTCATTTGTCTACTGTTGTTTTCCCTATGCGCATCCTTGATCACTAATGTCCAGAGCAACATTCAGGAAATCTGCTGGCATCCAATGTGACAAACCAAACTGGCGGAGGCATTGCTGGTGGCCAAATTAACTCCTTTCCCGCATCAGCTGAAGTTGCAGAGTTTCCCAGCGTTACCACACAGCAACCATTTATAGGAAGCAATGGCCCTACTACTGGTATGATGTTTCCGGCAAGCACAGGTGTTCAGTTGGTGTAAGTCCTTCACCATACCACCTTTTGAAATTTTATGTTTCTGAAGAAGTAATTACAGTTCAATTAATTCCCTATCATTCCATTCAAAAATAGCCCAATCTTCTCTCCTATCTGTCCCTGTGGACATATTATAATATAGGGTTAATGTGCGAATTTGCTTCGAAAGTTTTCACTCAATAACGTGGGTATTCGGAAGTTTTTTTTTTTTTGGGAGCTAATTTGCCCTGGAAGTTTAAAATCATAGCAATATTACCTCTTACCGTTGAAAATATTAATGAAAAGGAATGTATAGATTGACATTGATTATAACTCTGCTCATTAAATGGGTTTCTCTGCTTCTGGTATGATGCTTTTGAAGCGCCTGAGCATTAGGTGTTGAACACAAAGGAGAAGAGAAGGAAAGGGAATGAGGCCAAAGCTCTATTAACTGTTGATGACATGGCTGGAGGGGTGGAAAAGAGAAAATGTATGGGTAACTGACTGGTCATATGGGATATGAGGTGGAAGAGAGTGTTTGGTTGTTAGAAGGGGAATATGTTGGAGGGTTGACAGTCAGAAGGAGGTGAATTTGGAAGTCTGAGTCTTAACTCAGAACTGCCGGATTTTATTTTATGTTTTTTTGGGGGCCTGATTTATCTTTTTTGCCTTGTTTTCCCATTAACTTGAAAAATCCTCCTCTACACCTCTGCTCAACACACAATTCAAAGGTAAATAGTGATTCACCGCTATTTAGATTTTCTAGCCCTCCAGCCACCTCATCTGCGGAAACCCAGCTTTGGACGCCTTCTCCCCTATGGTCTTTAAAACATTAGATCTGGATCAGCTTTGGTCCATCACATGCGCAATTTAGTTATGCATCTTAATTTTTCGGCTACTTTCAAAAGATGTTTTACTTAATGTTCGCTGTCCAAGGAGAATTTAGTGGATATTCTCAAAGGACAAAGCAAAAGGGTCTATAAAGTCTTTAATTATCAGAATGTCCCCTAACTAACTAGCTGCCTCTCTTAACTAGTAGGAGGCACCATTAGCAAGCCCTTTGCCCCCTGTGAGTGAATTCACTTAACTTTTTTTCTCTAGTCAAATAAATTATCATGATTCTAATTACTTACTATAAAGTAAAAGCCTTGCGGGAAAAACCACTCAGCAAGTGTACCTGAGCCAAGAGAGTTTAGCCAGAAATACATTTCATAGCAGAGAACATCCTCCCTAATTATTTAGACAAAAGTCTATCAACTTCGTTTCAAACCTCTTCTCAAACATCATTGTGAAATCTGTCACGCCTTGAATTCATCTCAGCACCCCATCTACTGTGCCTTGATGAAAATCTGGGAGAGTGAATTAACCTCGAGAAACATCGAACTTTTGTATAGCTGTAACTCCCAAACTTTTCTTTACATATTTCGATTTGTTTGGAACCTTAACCTTGAAAGTAAAGCAGCCTTACACTGATCCTTGTAGGAGTTTGACATTGTTTAGCTTTATATACAAGTCATAAATATTTTGTTTCTATTTAATAGCTGTTCTGTTCCTGCAGAAGTAAGTCCAAAGATGAGAATGTCTCTGGAGATGCCAGTATTTGGTTAAAAGAGAAATGGATCCCTGGAGAGGTAATCTACTTCTATGGCGTCGTTTTCTTGTGCCCCCCCCCCCCCCAAAACCAAAAAACAAACACACACACACACAAAAAAGCTTTTGTGCTGCAAAAAGCTCACAAGGCTGACAAGTGCATGGGGCATGGAAAGAGTGAGATAGGGATGGGATTTTTCACCTCGTGGCCATCTCAGTTTTAAGCTGCCATTAAAGCTAATGAGCTCATTGGTGCCTGGACACTTAAATTTTGAAGTTGGGAGACTGTCAATTCGAACATTTATGAACATATTTGTGATCTTGATTCTCTATAATGATCAAATTCCTTTAAGTTGAGGCGTAATAGTTATTGAAGCTTGTGGGGCTGGTAGATCCGTACTTAATCTTTGATATCATCTGCAGTTAATGATCGCTGATTTTTAACATGGAATTCCAATTCCCTGACACAAATTTTTTTCCGTATTGAAGTATTTCCTCTGCCCTTTTTAATAAGCAACGATCACCATCTTCTTCTTGTTTCTAAATATAAGTAACATTTGTAAGTTGTTTTAAATTTTTAAAGCAAATTTCCTATTTTACCCCATTAATTACTTATTTTAATACTCAATATATTTATTATCTTATTTTTCAAACAATTATCTTTCTTTATCACATTTTATCTCTTTCATAGTTCTCTTCATTATAATGATTTTTTTTATTATCTTTCTTATACTCTTTTCCCTGTCTATAAATAATGGTATTTTGGAGAAAGAACTTCTAATTTCTACCTATTTATTATTTATAACTAACTTTTTGATCTATGTGATGGAGCTGAAAGTTGTTTATAAAAAGGGGAGAGAAGTAGTAATGGGATTCAGTCTGATGTATTCGGCCATATTTTTCTTTCTAATATTGTTTGTTTCTTGTTACAGATTCCGGAAGAAGCTCCTCCTGATGCATTTATTAGGTAGACAGTTCTTTATGAAATTTGTGTAAAGCATAGATTGCGGTGGTTGAGGTGTAGAGTTCCGCTGATGTAAAAGGCAAGCTCTAGTTTCTTTTCTTTTTGTTTTTCTTTAATATAACAGGCAAGCTCTTGTTAGATATTGTAACAGAAATGTTCATAACGCCTTGAATATTACTATAACCTTCAGTCCAATTTATAATATTTTATCTTTTTTTTTTTCCAACTATAATATTCTATCTATTTATTCTTAATACAGGACCGATGTTCTTCAAGGTTGCCTGGACCCATTTTCGTGAGGGGCAAAAGAAATTAATATGATGATTTATGACAAAAGAAATGAGGAGACCAGCAAAAGGTGAGAAACCTGATGAATGATCTTGTAGCACTTGGATAAGATGACTTGGAAAATGTAAAGAATTTCAACACAAAAAATATGGAAGATGTTAAGATGACTATTGGAAATATCTAAGATGACTATTAAAAAGAATTAAAACACTGAGATATTGTTTGGTACGAAGTATTAAAAATAAGAGATAAAGACTAAGTTGTTATTAAAAAAATTATTAAAAATATTTTTAGTATGAGTAATTATTTATTATATGAGATATAACAAACTTATGAAAGTAGGATTGGGAAATATCACTTTTTTTTAGTGTTTTTAAATCTTACATACATGGGTTTATCTAATATCATATAATAAGTAATTTCTCATACTAAATACTATTGTCTTAATTTCAATTCTAATTTCAATTTTTCATTTTTAATACTTCATATCAAACCAGTGTGACTGTTTAAATTGTGGAAGATGTGTATTGAAAATATAGATGAGTGCAAAAAAGTTTGGCTCAGAAAAATTTTAATGCCAACTAACAATCATATTTTTTGTAATTCAAAATTTTAGAACTCTTAATTATTATTAATATTTTTAGTGGATCTATATTTAGTTCATGGATATCAAACCGTGCAATGCAATTTGTTACTCGGCCCCCGAAATTGAATATATTTAATGATGGTAGTTAGTTAAATGTTGTGGTGGCAAAAGAAATTGATACATGTGGATGCAGATGGCCAATGTTTACGAAAGTGATATCCACATCAATTGGGTTGTGCAAATTGAAATCCAGATAAAAATTAATTAATAAAACCCAAAAGTTAATATTAACATGAGTTTTGAATAAAAAGTCATTTTGCCTAAATACCGATCCAAACATTTTAAAACTCAATATTAAGGAACTGTATAATAAATTATTACCACTTTTGATATTTGATATAAGATCTAATTGACTAATTTAAGGAGATTAAGAAAATTACTAAATTTTCTAATTGTAACATATATTATATAATCGCTCTAAAATATTTATATGTAATATTAGCTTATATATCAATTTATAAGTAAGACAAATTAGTTGGAAGAAAAATAGTAAATATAAATACTTTGAAGGTGAATACAAACCTTGATCCTTTAAGTTTTTCTTCAAATTTTAAATCATAAGTTTTAGTTGTTTAAGTTTCTTTTCATTTAAAATATTAGTCCCTATAATCAGGTAAAAACTTGAATCATTTTATCTCTTAAGGGACCAAAATTTATGGTTTGAAACTTGAGGGATTAATACAACTAAAATGAAGGTAAATTTAAGAGATAAAAAATTTATATTAACCCATCATTTAAAGTAAATCAGTAACTTTCATAATCTCTTTAAATTAGTGAGTAGGATCTTATATTAAGAAGTTGATGTAGTAATTTTTAAAAACAAAAGTGTATATGTTCTCTTTTCCACTGCCACATCACAACTTGTCCCAATCGGTCGATGTGAATCAGCACCCGACGGTTTTGCAATTTCAAAACTTAAAAAGGAATGACTTCGGGTTAGTTAATCAGTAGAAACTGAATTAAATTCATCAAGCCTCAGTTCGCGGACCGTTTGGTGTGCTGGAATTACGTACCTGGAAATGGCAAGATCCATTATTTGACTTTGGTCTTGTTTTTATGCCCTTCAATTTTCAGCTCTGGTTCCTATCTTCTGATAATAGTTTGAATCTTCATTTTGATGATGGGAGTGGATGGTGTCCTGGTGGAACAGAGCTTTTTTTAACCCCCAAACAGGGCCTTCAAGCAACCGGTTAACCGCATGAGGAAAGCGGTCTGTGCCTGTGTCCATGGTAGCAGGTGGTGGAGATTGGTGCGTCAAAGTCAATGGTGGTTTTGCAGAGGCGTTTTTCAAGAGGGCATTTTGGTACTTTTGTATGAAAAATACTCCTCTGATCCTATTTAAAATTTTTTTGGTCAGATTCTAGAACAGAAAAAGAAATTTTTTGCATGAATGTTTAACCTTGGGAGTGTTTGAATGAAACCAAACCATAATTTAGAGAATAACTTTTGGAGAATAGATTTTTGAGAAAATAAATTTTATAAAGAATAGATTTTGTGAAAAAGTGATTTTGATAAAGTGAGAGTGTTTGGATAGTTGTTATCAGAAGCACTTTTTATATATACAAATTACTAAAAAGGACATAAGTTAATATGATAATTACATAAAATATAGATTTTATAATATATTTTAATTTAAAGGACTAAAATTGTTAATAATATATTTTTTCACCAACATAATTAAGAACATATAAGAAAATATAATTAATAAATAATTAATATGTGTATATATATTTATAAAATATGAGATTAAAAATATTTTCGTAAAAAATAAATCTTTTTTACCAGCAGAAAAATATTATTTTATTTTAAAGATTATACATATAAAATACCATGATATTTTTTGACAAAATTAATTAAGCACATATAAAACAATTTATTACTTATTATAGTAATTAATAATAAACACACAGCACATATATATGATTCTCTCAGGCTCTCTCTCATACTGCGGCTGAAACAATGAAGACAAGAGATGAATAATTGGGGAGGGGTATATCTGTCTGGGCCAAAAAAAAAAACAAGGCACATATCCCATAGGCTCTGATACTCTCTCTTTTTCCTCCAAAAGCAGAAAATTTTTACTTCTACCAAAACCATGGTTTTGGTTTTTTTTTTTTTAATGGTGTTTGGGTAATTTTTTCCCTAAACCATGGTTTGGATAATCACCCAAACACTTTTTTTTATCTTTCATTTATTATTGTGTTGACTTTATTTTTATTGGTATAATATATATTAAATATGGATTACTTTTTCTTAATCTATATGAAACATGTTAAAAGTGACTTGTAAATAATATTAGAAAAGTATTTTCATGATGACCAGCACTCTTTTAAAACCTATTTCCATTTATCTATTTTTATTTCTATTTCCATATCGATATTTATTTTTATTTCCATCAAAAACCAATTTCAGTGTAACGAACGGGTCCTTGAAACTAGGGGTGAGCAAATAGCCCATAACCCGCTAGCCCACCCATAACCCAATAATTTTTTGCCCATTAAAGCCTGCCCAATTAGCCCAAATAGAAGATAATAAACGGGTTGACTTAAATGGGCAGGGCAGCCCATTAAACGGGACGGGCTTTGGGCAAGGCTTCGGGTTGCCCATACCCACCCATTTAAGTTTTATTTTTTTTAAAAAATATTTTTATTCTTTACAATTAGTCAATTAGATTTAGACCTAGTTGCAAGCTGCCTTTGAGCCTTTCAATCTTTCATTATCCGTTTCTTCATAGTTCATTCCAATTTCCATTTCGACGAGACGGCGACGGCATTTCTCAATCTCTCGACTGAACGACTCTCTCAGTGTCTCTCACTTGCTCTACTGACTGCCGCTCCACGCCTCCACGCCTCCACCGCCTTCGCTCTGTCACTCTGTCACTTTGTCACTATGTCTGTGACTCTGTGTGACTGCGTCTCTACCATTCAACTTCGAGCCAATTGCCCAGCTTGCTTCGAGCTCCAATGATCTATGGACTTTAATCAATTTGCCTGTGAGAGAGTGAGGCTGTGATTTCAGCTTTGCCTAGCTCTGTTTGTACTGCGTCTTGCTGTCTTCGAGTTTGAGACAAAGGTCAGTGTCGCTGGTGGTGTCCTTCGATTTGTTGAAGATTGAAGCAAATGATTTGGATGTTGATAATTTTGATGAGAGTACAAGTATTGTTATTGGTAATTGACTAATTTCTGTATCATTGAGTTTGCAGCATTGCATTATGTTTTTTATACTAATAGTCTAATATTAATGACATTAACTTATTCTTATTTGTTTTGTTTTTACAGAGCAAGAGTCAGCAGCCACACATTCAACAATTTCAAGTGATTCAGAAGTAGAACATTATGATACTCAAGATCTAGCTGGATGAGCAATTGATGATATTGTTTCTCATTCTGCCATTCATTGTTTATCAAACTTTCATGCTTGTCTGAACTTTTATTTTATCCTTTAGGTGGAAGTTGTAACTTTTAAAGTTTGAGACTTTTTATGATTGGTGGCTATTTTTTTGATTTTATTAGGCTTTGATTGTTTGTGACTCTAAGTGAAGTTGTGTAATTGAATATAGTTGGTATTATGTAATGTTATTTTATATTTGATTTGCTATTTGGTATGCAAAATTTATTAACAGCTTCATAAGATTACACTATGCTGAAAAAATTGTAAAAAAAAAAGTAGAAAAATAAATGGGTTACCCATAACCCGGTCAGCCCAAACGGGCTGCCCCGCAACCTATTTAATATGGGCTAAAACAGGCTATTACCGGGTTATGGGCTAGCCCATGCCCGTTTATTCATAAATGGGCGGGCTATGGGCTAACCCTTAGGCTAGCCCAGCCCGCCCATTGCTCAGCCCTACTTGAAACCACGATGACAATACTATGTCACAATCTAGTCCATTCCTAATAAGTGTAGATTGCTCTTGACATTTTACCTATTTTAATACTACTTTCGGTCTTTAATATAAGATTTTATTTAATTTTTATTTTAGTTTTAAATATAAAACCCTACTTCATTTTGTTTTTTCATATTTATCTTTTTTTTTTCAAGATAGTCTTATAATAATAGTAGTTCTAGCTAATATACTTTATTAACAAGGATATTTTAAAAAGATAACATATATTTATTACAAATAATTAACTTAACTAATTTTTTTAATCTGCTTAAATTAAATAATTAACTTAACTAATGTTCTTAATTTGCTTAAATTAGTTAATTGGTAATTTGTTTGATCCAATAAATTTGTCTCAACTTGAATATCATTTTAGGTCTAACACGGTCCAAAGACCTGAACCTATGTATATTTTTTTTAATACTTAACTATATTATCAAGTGAGGGTGTTCAATTTGTCCCGTCCCGGTCTTGGTGAGTTCGGGACGGGATGAAACGAGACAAAAAAAATTTCGAGACAGGACGGGAACAGTGACTGGGACGAGACAGGACATGGGACAGGGCTGTTCCATCCCATCCCATCCCGAGGTATTTTTTTTAAAAATTATTTATTAATAATTATTATTAGATTATTTAATTTACTTATTAATAATAATTATTATTTTTATAGTGATTTTTAACTCTTAAATTGTAGTATTATCTTAACAAAATCTCATTCCTCAATAAAATAATTTATAAAGATATTATATAGTGTTTTTTTCCTGTATTTTTTTACAGTATTATTTTTACATCTTTTTTATACTACATAATTGAACTTTCTACATAATTTTTTTTTAATGATGTTTTTATTTTTAGAAGCCTAATAAAAAATAAGCATTATAATATAAAAAAATTCATATAAAAATTATAGTATTTTTTTTTTAAAAAAGGAAGCGGGACGTCCCTATTCCGTCCCGGTTCCGATGGGACCGGGATAGAACCGGGACGGGACGAGACGGGACACGGGACAAAATTCCGGTCCCATCCCGTCCCGTGAACACCCCTAGCTATCAAGTGTATATGTTTCAACAGTTTAAATTGCAGATAAGTCGCTGGCAAAAAAAAAAAATTGCAGATAAGTCAGTTACTATTACTGTAATAATAAAATACAACTAACATGGAACAAAGATCCTATCTATATTGTAACAGATTTACGGGACAGGTGGAAATCGAATTAAATTTAAACTATTAAAAAAAACCGGCTTGTGAAAAAAGAAATGCTTGAATCCAATAGAAAAGACGAATTTTGAAAAGGATTTTTTTTCCAAATTAAAAGAGGAAAAAAAAAACATTGTTTATTAATTGAACTCGACGGAATCACGATAAGACAGTCCTTCATGCGACAACAAAATATGTAGTCATAAATAAATACTCCTCCGGTCCTTAATATAAGATCCATTTCACTAATTTGATTAGATTAAGAAAGTTAGGTAAGTTAGTTAATTATAAGAAAAATGACATATTTTTCCTAAAACACCATAATCATCTTTCTTAATACTTCATCTTTCTCTTCTACTTGACTATGGTTGAGGGGGTATCCATAGGGGTAATTTAGAGAAAATTGATAAATATGAGAAATGGGTCTTATATTTAGGATCAAAACTAACTCAAAAATTGGATCCTATATTAAGGACCGGAGGAGTATTTGGATAACGGACCATATAAGTTAAAAATTGTATAGTCATGCATTCATAACGTGGGTAAAAAATAACTTAAAAAGACAAAAAAAAAGAGGAAAATGACAAAAAAGACCATCAAAATAAAAAAATTATAAATAAGGACTCATGACAATATTAGTATAGATTTTGACAATAATTTTTATAAACCGGTCCCTGTATGTAATTTTTCTATTTCGATAGTGTTTTTTTATCATTGTTTCAAAAAAGTACTCCCTATCTCCGATGTATTTTGAGTAGACAAAATGAGGTGGTCATGAAGTTTCAATATAGTTTAACTGAAAAAAATATAGTTTTTTTTAATCCTAAAATCATTAAGTTTAAATAATAATTTTTTTCATAATTATGGTTTTTTTTAAAAAAATTAAACTCAATGTGTTAACATTTGAGAATGTTTGTCAATATTTAAAATTTTAATTTTGTTTTTTTTTAAATAATTTTAAGATTAAAATGTTAAAATTGCATATCAAATGGTAAATATTATTTGTCAAATGATATAATATATAATAAAAATATAAAAATCATGGCATGACAAAAATCACTAACTTTAACGATAATTTTAATAACAGGGGAATTGTCAAAACATAAAATTTCACGATTCTTTTTAATTTAAATTTTTAAAGGTTAAGAAAATTATCTATAACTGACTAAATGTTCAGAAATTTTGTGTATTTTAGCCTAATATAAAATTCTCTAATTAATTTTTATCTAATTTTCTTAACGTATGTAAAGCAATATGTACTAGAAGTGAAAAAACACACGAGACGTCAGACCGTAAGAGCTTCTGACTTGGAACTTGTGGCCCCCTAACTTGTCAGCACCATGCCGATTCAATAATTATTAATTAATATCACAAAATTAAATAACAAGCACTACTTTCCCATGATGATTGAGTTTTATGCATGTGTATATGTGAGCATACCTCTAATGTTAAATATGAGATCTATTTTATCATATAAAAGTAAATCTTATATTTAAAATAGAAATAATATTGAATTTTCATGTGGTGAGAAAACAACCTGAATAATGTATGTAGTTTTTTCACCTGAAACTCTGATCTTTGTATATTTTGATGGGGTGTATCCCTTAATGAATTACAATTTTTACTCAAAAAAAAAACTAATGTATGTAGTTTTTGAATTCTCATTTCTATGTTTGACTTTATTAAGCCTCGCTCTATTCAAATAATTTAAAATTCTTACAAATAAAAAGAAACTCAAATAAAGCGAGAGGTGAATGAATTATCACATTTTTGTCTTCAATGGTTTTTTTGTTGTTGGGAAATCCCAAAAAAGTGATGGATGAATTTCAAAATTTCAAATTAGTATTAGTTACTACACTCATAAAGAAAATGACTACATTCGAAAAGTAAATAACAACACATTTTTGTAGTAATTTCTGATTTGGAATTTTAAAATTCAACAATCATTTTTTTGGGATTTTTTTTACTATATAGGGCCTGTTTGGGTTAGTGATTACTGGTCTAAACATGGTTTGATTTCAAGACAAGCCTGATTGAAAATTTTGGTAATGTTTGGGAGGACTTATGACATATTGGGGTTATTGGAAAATAAGCTGGCTGACTGTGCAGTGGAAATAAACCAAGAGGAGGAACTTATTTTGAAGTCTAAAGAGCTTATCAAGACTGTTTTGTGGGAGTGTCAGAGAATTTATTCCCTCTTTATTTTTCTCTCCCTTCTGGCATTATTTCCTCATGATTTCACTTGTATTTTTTTTCCCCAAACCTCTCACCCACAAGTCTCGTCTCTTCTGCCAATCCCACTTGCTCTGTCGCCTTGTCCCAAAAGCTACATCATTGGTCGCCATGAGCTCCATCATCTCACCGGCATGAGGCCATTGTGTTGGGTGTGAGTGGCCTACTGGAGGTTGCTCCTTCATCGCAAGTCCGAGCTACTCTCATTGTCTGCAACTAAGGTCGCCGCTGTCTGCCGGTGCATGTGAGCTGTGCGTGGAGATCTTAGCTTCCCAGTGCAATACTTCGTCGAATCTACCTCTGGCAGCATTCGGGTGGTTGGATATGTTATAAGTTGGCCGGTTTAATTTTTTGTCTTGCTTTTTCGGTTCGATCCCCTATGCTTGCCTGAATTTGCTGTCGTCCTTGCTTGCTGTTGGAAGCCTGAAAATTAAACTCATTTCTAGGTTAAGAGTTCTCCTTCATGCTGGTCATCGGTGGTCTTTTTTTTGCTTATGTTTTTCATGGTGTTTTGTTTCTTCTTCTTTCATTTTTCTCCTTCTGTTTTGGTCATCTTGTCCCACATGTTGTTGAGGTGGATTAATGCATTTAACTGTCTATTGGAGGAATCGATCTGGCTAGATAGTTGACATTTGGAGCTACAGATTTGGCACTAATTTTGTATCCTGGTTTATTGAAAGGGCTGTGGATGAATTGTATGGTTTTCTCTCTAGTCCCATTGTTGGGAATATCTCTGTGGCTCTTGTCTCCTTCCCCTTCCTCCGTATCTTATTTCCTCTATTTCTGTCAATTTGTTTACAGTGGTATTTGAATGTATTTTCAAATGCTGGATTGAATATTATGAATATACTTGTGATTCCATTGTGTTGAGATATTTTGGATTTAGTTCATTACAACCTCCTCCTCCTATTATTCCAATTGCTTAGTCATTCCAATTACTCCATTTTCCTCCTACTCAATTACTCTTACTGACAACTCATTCATAAAACGTAAAAATTCTTGTAAAACATATCTTATTCCTAAAAAACTCTTCAACTTTTAAATTAATTAATAACAATGATTACAATAACTTCACCAAATTCACTTGCTTTTGTTTTTGCTGGTTTGTGTTGAGTGTTGCTGTTTCTTGGGCTCTAGCTATTAGTGATTGTATTCTTTGATTTTGGGATATCCATAAAAATTTTATTTTTTTGGGGCAAAAAAATATCGTGTGGCTAATTTTTACGGTGAATTATCATTGCCATGACGCAAATATTGAGCATATATGAGTATCATACTGTGATGATTATTCTGGAGATGTGATTATGTATATGTGATTGGATTGTGTATATGTGTAGATGTGATTGTGTATACTGATCATTCAGTTGCTATTCAAGTGGATTTTTTTTGGGGGGGGGGAAGGGAAACTGTACAAGCTTGTTGTGCCAAATATTTGGATTTTTATTACTTCAGTGATTTTATGTCAAAAGCTTGTAGAGATTGAAAAAAACTAATTTTAAAACTAATTTTTTGTCCCTTTAATTAAGGTTTTGATAGCTCAATTAACTACTAAATTTGCTTATTTAGATATTCACAAAAAAATTGTCTTTCCTAATTAAGTTTCTCATGAAAAATATATTGACGTATTCTCTATCAAAATATGACATCTCCACTTCAAAGATGAACAATTGTTAAACAAACAATAAGAAAAATAATCGATGACAACTTTACTATTAAATTTAGTTTTGAAAAATTTTTCACAATCAATAACAACCACTGAATACCCTTATTTACTTGATGTTAGATTTTGGACGAGGTGCAGAAATGCATAATATCATTATATATTAAAAAAAATTAAAATCTTCCAGGGAGCTATGGCCTAGGGTTCCCCTTCTCTCCACCACTGGAGCATAGTGGATATTGACATTGTGATTATAAATTTATAATTTCAAAAAATTATGAATAAGAAAACTAAACAGCTTATGTAATCAAAATGTCTTAATTAATATTTTATGACTTAATAATAATATTTGGAACTTGATAACAAAAACATGGACGATAATATTAGGAAAATAACACTTAATATTTGGAATTCTTTATGTCTTAGGATTTCTTCTGAAACGTAAGTGAGAAAACTATGCAAATAATATATATTTTTGTTTGGGTACAACGTATTTGTTACATAATATAGCTTTTATTATTACATTTTTAGGACTTTGCTTACTTCAGTTAGTCTTATCTTGATTATTTTTCATAGAGGAATGGATAATGATAGAGGAAAAACGATATGGGATCCTTACACGACTAAAATTCTAATCAATGTTTGTGCTGAGCAAATACTGCAAAAGGAACGACAAGGAACATAATTTACAAGGCCTGGTTGGGGCAAAATTGAAAAGAATTTTTAGGAAAGAAGGGGAAAAATTATGACAGGAAGCAACTAAAGAATAGATTTGACATATTGAGAAAATATTAGAAGTTGTGAGAATAACTGATGTCTGGAGAGACTGGCATTGGTTATGATGCAGCCACAAATAGGGTGTTGGCCTCTGATGAGTGGTGACAGCAAAAATTATCAATAGCTTATCAGTTAATTAATTATGTAATATTATTTCGTTGGTAATATAGTTGGCAAACATGATCAGGCTGAAACTAGTCAACTATCGTTTTCAAATGTTACATCAAAGTCTTCATCGCATATGAATAGCGTCCGTGATGCAATCAGAGACCAAATTATCCATAACTTATCAGTTAATTAATTATATAATATTATTTTGTTTCACCTTCTCACAATACAATGAATTGGAGTTCAAAACATTTTTATCCATTCAAATTATGTTTTACTCTATATTTAGTTGATTTCTCTGATATTTTCAAATTTAATTTACTCATTATATTTCATTTCTTCATATTAAATTAATTTAAATTCATTGTATTATGTCAATTCTTTTTTTATCCTGTTTCACTTTATACTTAAAATATTTCTTATGATTTCTCTAAAGTTTTTAAATTTAATTCACTCATTAAATTTCACTTCTTCATATTAAATTATTTTAAATTCATTGTATTATGTAAAATTATTTTTTAATCATGTTTCATTATTTATTAAAATTTATACCCATTTTGGTCATTTTACAACCAAACTTACTTTTACTCAATTATAATTCAAACAATCTTTTACCAATCTCACTTTTACAAATTAACTTTTTTAAATTCCAATCTAAACACAATTCAACTTATCTAATTTAATTTTTACCTACTCTTACTTTTTTAAAAATCAGATTAGAAATAAGTTACTTTTTCCATTATCAATCTAAACAGACCCATACGTTATATTACTCCTTTTTATCATCTTTCACCCAGAAGAAAATCACACACATTGCATTCATAAAGGGTTGAACCCAATTCGATTAAGATAATTTTTTTGTCATCATTCACCCTCGGCAAAAACTCAACATGTGCTCATTACCCTTATGAAAAGTTAATGTTTAAATAAAACTTAAAAGAGTGTTTAGTCAAACAGCTCCGAGTGCCGGGTTAGGACTTCATAAGAGTACTGACTTTTCAAATTATCCTGTCTTAATCACAGATCAAATCAACATTTTAGATCATCTAATAAAATAAATATGGAGAAAAAAATTAAAATGATCAAACTCCAAAGATGATTATGTATGGAGTGATACCTTGTAAATATATGCGTTGCCTCGAGTTCCTATGTATCTTTCTGCAATTCATGTTAATTTGATACATTTATTGTTATGAATGTAAATGCATTATTACATCTTTTTGTTTTAAAGATACCGAGACTGATTTGATTACAAACACCAAAATAATAATTATAATAATAAATGTTATATTCCAACTTTCATTTCATCATCTATATAAGGATAGGAATAACATTGGCTCTTCCAATACATAGAAAAATGCAACACGCGATTATTGAAGACTATATCATTAAACTGATAATAAATCGTAGGTTTAAAACTTGCCCCCGTTAGTCTTACAAAGTGATAAAGTTTTAAATATTTTGATAGTAATTATTCTAAAATTTACATAAATTTTATAAATGAAATACTTAATGATATAAATATTTTAAAAGGGGTGAGATGATAAGCTCGTGAGAAAGACGGCGAATGACAAATTAGCGAAGCAGCGGTGTTTGCCAACCTTATTGGTCTTATTCTTATCCAGTTTTCCATTTTAAATTAAGATCCGGCCGTCACCGAATATCAAGATCTGCGTTCTTATTAGGAATTTCGATTTTTTCCAAAGGAAATCTAATTCAATAGTATATCACATAAAATCCATAAAAAATTATATTATTGAAGACTTTTTTTTTCAAAAAAAAAATGTCAATCATTCTTCATTTTTTATGCAGAAACACATATTTTTTTAATCGGAAATACAAAAAAAAAATTAGTGTATTCGCATAACAATTTAGAATGGGTTTCACTAATAACTCCTACTTCTTCCTTTTATTTTTATAAACATTTGATCAAATCGTGTGAATAAAAAGTTAATTAAAATTAATCAAAGACAATAAATATATAAAAATTATAATTTTTTCATAAAAATATCTTTATTTATGAGAGAAGAGAGAATATAAGAAAGAATAAAAAAAAAGAATGAAATATATTTTAAAAAATAAGATAATAAATATAGTAAGTATTAAAAAAATAATTAATGTGAATAAAAACAAAAAACTAATAAAAAAAGATTGAAGACATTTTGTAAGTATTTTTTCATAAATATGAGCAAAGTAAAATGACTTTCACTTTTTTTTAATTTTTTTAAAATAAACACACTTTTTATGAATTTTATATGATAGATTGAATTTTTTTTAAATTGCAGGATACAACTAAATTAAATCAAATTGTAAGCGTGAATTAATCCATTTTTTAATTCCTCCCTTACATTGGCGCCCCTTTTTCCCCTGGGTCAATAGGATGCTGGCGGGAGCGGGAAGAGAAAGGGATAAGGGCAAATGAGTCAAGTAAAGAAAGGCCATGGACTATAAATAAGCTCCGCCTCACTGGTCCCTTCCACTCACAAGTCTGGGGACCCGTTTTCTCTGCGTCCCTCCAGTTTCTGTCATTTTCATCTCTTCTGCTTTCTTGTCCTTTCTATTTTGGAAAACGGGCTCTGGTGGAGGAGTACGGCAACAGCAATGGAGAGACCTCCAAGCTTTATCTCTGAGCCGCTTCTGATTCTCCTCCTGCTTTCTGCGTTAGCTATCGCTTCTGCTTCCTCCAGCCTTGAGGATCAATTCCGGCGAAATCTGCTCGCTAATGGCCTCGCTCTCACTCCTCCTATGGGGTATGTATCCCTATATAACATTACCGGTGCCCCTCTCTCTCTGCTTCACTGATGAAATTTTCTGTGTTTGCTGAGGAGTTGCATTTGTTGATTTTGGTCGTATCAAATTCTCTCTGGCGCTACTTCTGTTTCACTGATGAAATTTTCTGTGTTCCTTATCTGTTACTTTCGCCATCACCGAAGAGTAGCATTTGGTGATTTAGTCATTAAATCGTACAATACAGGATCAAATCATTAACGAGCTTGGACTTGAAGGATCCAGCTCGAATTCTGTTGGATTCTTTTGTTTTAGTTCTTTTCGAAGGAAAGCACTATCCTGATCTACTCTTTCGACCTGGATATGGAGAAAGGAAAAACGAACTGGAAAAGATATCTATGTTTGTTTGCTTTGTGCATTAACCTCAGTATTGATTTCCCGATCTTGTATTATGTGACTTTCTGTTCTTTCTTTCAATGGCCGTATCCTCTCATAATTGGTATTCTTATTTCGGTGAAATTCTTAGAACACTTTACTTATCCAAAGTCCTTTTCATAGAAATTACCTTTTTTTATAATGAATTTTTTTCTTGTCCTTTTAAATAGACTTTCAAAGCTATTCTATCCAAGCAATAATTTGTTAAAAGTATTTTTGAAAAGTGATTTTAACTTTTCAAAATTTCTATCCAAATACAAACTTAGCTAATGCGAGCTCGAATTCTGTCGGATTTAAAATTTTGCAGAAGTCTTATCCTGATATATTTAGAACAAAATGTGGAAAAAAGAAAAAGGGAATAGAAATGACCCTCATATGTTTGCACTATGCAGTAAACTCAGTATTGATTTCCAGATTTCGCATCCTTTTATTACTGTGTCTTCTTCCTTTCAGTAGCCACATGGTCTCTTATTTGGTACTCCTTTTTCCTTTTTATGTAGGTGGAACAGTTGGAACCATTTCGGTTGTCAAATAGATGAAAAGATCATCCGAGAAACTGGTATATTTTGTAATTAAAGAGTTAATAAACATATACTCCGAGAGTGTGTGTAGTATTTATAATTCTATATATATATATATATGTATACACACACAGAATATTAATGTTGCTTTGCTGTCTAACAGTAATAAACTTGACTACGTATTATGTCTCACCCTGGTAAACTCAATTATTTATCACATGGTGGTCCCAGACCTACATCCTTGATTCTCTTTCTATCGGTCTTACACTCTTCCTAAAGATTATATTATTGTTTAATAGTAATAGTGGAAGCACTAATGATAACGTCTCTTTTTTGTATAGCTTTGTGTATTTGTGATTGTGAGAGTGGATTCTTGAATGGTCAGGGGAGGAAATATACCTCGGTTGAAGTGTGACTATAATAATATGGATAAATGACTGAATCAGTATGCTCAGTTCCTCCCAATTCACTGACCAACCGTTTAATTAAAATTCTTTGTATAAAATTACAGCGGATGCTCTTGTCGCGACTGGCTTGTCCAAGCTTGGATACACCTATGTCAACATAGGTACATAAATTAAAGCTAACATTTGTTAAACCTCGTATTCTGTTAAATTACTTTTATTTTGAGTTGTTCTTGATAAGCGGTTGTCGGTTCTTGCAGATGATTGTTGGGCTGAATTGTCTCGAGATAACAAGGTACATAATGACTTTAAATGTTGCTGTTTTCTTGTGCTGTAATTCCTCACTAAAATCGTGAATTAGGGAAGTCTGTTTTATGGAACTAAAAATTAAATTTACAAACGCCTCAGGGAAATCTAGTGGCAAAGAAGTCAACTTTTCCTTCTGGAATTAAAGCTCTCGCGGATTACGTTCACAGCAAAGGTCTTAAGCTTGGAATTTACTCGGATGCAGGGTACAATACTATTATACTATTCACAAAATTGTTTGTTTATATGTAGTCTTGGCAATCTTTTCTAAGAAAGCTCCTTTCTTTCTTTCTTTGTTTTTTTTTTCTGTTGTTTTCTTTTTGGAGTCACAAGTTAATTTTACGGATCAAATTTTGTAGGTATTTTACTTGTAGCAAAAAGATGCCTGGTTCACTTCATCATGAGGAGCAAGATGCAAGAACATTTGCTTCATGGGTATGCATCGCTAATTTTGATTTCTCTTGAACTTTTACTCGACTTTCATTTCAATAGCGAATTAGGCGATAAAACATTCAAGATGCCATGCATATTATTAGGCGCATCACACCATTTTAAATTACTTGTAATTGTAAATATATCTAGACGTTATATATTTCATTGCGTAACAATATTTGTATCTTACCATGTACTATTATATTTATGTATACATGTGTCTTAATTATTGGTACGTTCTTTCTTATAACCTTGATTTTTGCGGGACTCATAGCTAAGTTGGTACCCATTTCTTTGTTAACAGGGTATTGATTACTTGAAGTACGATAATTGTAACAATGGGGGATCAAGGCCAACGGTTAGGTAGTCGGAAATTAATTATTTTGCTTATTTCATTTAAAATTTAATTAATTTTTTATTTAGGTTTAGACTTTTTGTTTAACTTGATTTTTGTAATTGGGTCTTTCTAAATTTAACTTTTTTTTGTTTATTCGATAGCTGGTTAGATGGCATGGGACCCAACAAGAAATTGAATATCCAATACAGATTAAATCATCATTAGACTTTTTCCCCGCAATGAAGGGAAAGGGCAAAAAAAAAAAAAAAAAAGTCCCCAAAGAATTTGATCTTTTAAAGTTAGTAAGAGAGAATAACAGTAGCGTAGAAAAAACGTGTGATGTGACTCTTTCTCTGTATTGTCCTTGCCCCCCCCCAAAAAAATCTGTATCTCAATTTAAAATGAATTTACTAAATTATCTTATATATTTGAACTCAAAAACTACTTTTTAATTTTTGGAAGTCAATTTTGTCTCCGTCCAAAATTAAAATATTTGAGGTAAAATATAGTAGACATGGAGTTGATTACAATAGATCTTTTTTGACTAAAGATTCGCATCAACGTTGTTAGGATGATTAGGCGGTGTAAAAAGCAAATGAGTACTCTCAAAAAGGGTATTGCAGCTTGGGCCATGGAGGGAGCGGAGTCCTCTATGTTATTATTGTCGCTTTTATGCTGGTATATTGCAATGTGGTCCCTGCAGCACGTGGCTATGCTGTGTTAATTTTCCTTTTTTACTTTAAAAAAACTCACTATTAAAATGATGCGAAAATAATTACATACATTAAAATTTCATGGAGAGAGCAAAATTAAAAATGTTATGAAACAAATAATTTAATTTACAATGAACCTTTTTCTACATTCGCCTCAAGACATGAATATCAGAATTACGTTATGCCTGCGTAACCTCTCTCTTTAATTCAGATACCCCATTATGACTCGAGCTTTATTAAAGGCGGGGCGTCCAATCTTCTTTTCTCTGTGTGAATGGTAATTCTCGTTTTCAGATTTTGATGGGCTTCTGAGATTTTGATGGGCTTCTGACTTTACATCATATACCTGTGTTGCTGAGCTTATTACTTGTGTTTTGTTTTGTAGGGGAGATTTGCACCCTGCTTTATGGGGTGCCAAAGTAGGGAATAGCTGGAGAACAACGAACGACATAAAAGATTCATGGGACAGGTAAAACAAGATGTTTGCGGTTTTTATCGTTAGTTTTTTAATCTCTTTACATCTCAATTTTATGCGATTGAGTCTTGTGGTAGAGGCGGTGCACAAGTGAAGTCCGTTGATGCTTATTTCTGGTGTTTGGCAGTATGATATCCAGGGCAGACATGAATGAAGTTTATGCTGATCTAGCAAGGCCTGGTGGCTGGAATGGTTAGTACTATTAATCCCCGTATTTGTAATGATTCCTTCATTCAATTCTTTGTGTTTTGAGATTTGTGCAATTCATACGTTTCAATGAACAGACCCTGACATGCTTGAGGTTGGAAATGGAGGGATGACGACTAATGAATATATAGTTCACTTCAGTCTATGGGCCCTTTCCAAGGTACAAGATGCCTTTGTAAATTGTAAATTTAATTTATGTTTTGTCAAGTAAAATGAATGTGATTGCTTGCAGGCTCCGCTGCTTCTGGGTTGTGATGTTCGAAATATGACTCGAGAGACTAAAATGATAGTTACAAACAAGGAGGTTATTGCAGTTAACCAAGGTGATGATGCATCATTCATCCGCCTTGTACTTTCCACTGTTAACTATTGCTTTTTTCGTAATACAATTAAATACACACGCATACAAACAAACATGTCAACACAAAGCTTAAGGTTGGAACTTTATCGAAGCGTGGTGGGTGGGTGCTGGTAGGGCAACTTGCCACTGACCACTGCTAATCATTACTAACACGCTTGTTTTCAACAGATCCACTGGGGGTGCAAGGTAAAAAGGTTAGGATGGAAGGTGATATTGAGGTAAGACCGCTGACACCAGACATTTTTTATCCTGTTTGGCTATCCGAAAATTAAGTAGATGACTTCTTATGCAAAAAATTTATATAATATTTGTTAAATGAAATTATTTATATCTTGTCTAATTTTATACTTTAAAACCAAAATATTGACTCTAATATTTTTTACATCTTAGTATCAATAAAAGTATTTGACTAAAAAATTTAGAATTAGATTGAATTGTTAGAGAATTTTTTTCATAAAGAATTTATATAATTTTAACATTAAAAGGTGTGTAAAATTAGTGAACTCGTTAATATTATAATTTTCAGTAAAAAAAATTATTAACCGGATAATAAACCAGAGGTATTGTAGTAAAGTTTTGGATGAAAATGCATTTAATTATTGTATGAACGGATATTTTATCCAAAAAAAAATTGTATTGAACAGATATGGGCAGGGCCGCTTTCTAAAAACAGAGTAGCTGTAGTGCTGCTCAATCGTGGCCCCGTGCGTTACTCAATTACTGCCTTTGGGACGACATTGGCATTCCTCCAAAAAGTGTGGTGCAAGCAAGAGATCTTTGGGAGGTATTTTGTGAGAATTGATTAATTATGTGATTATATTGTTTGTTTGATATTGAGCGAAGAAATGCGTGGGTGTTTTGTTGGCAGCACAAGACATTGGAGAGGCGATTTGTGGACAAAATTAGTGCCACTTTGGAGTCGCATTCGTGTAAAATGTATGTCTTGAAGCCAATAGCGTGAGGCCAAATGGATGGATGGATGGGAGCTTGTGGCGTGTCAACTCCTCACTGGTTTAAGTTATAGGATTAATGTCCCTACGTGTGTTATTTATATACTTTCCTGGAATAAGTATAAAAATAATTACCATCTCATGTCTATATGGTGTTTAGAACAATAATTTAAAATTTAATCATCTAATAAAATGTACTTCATCCTAAGATCTAGTTATTTACCCTTAATTACAGTTACATGAGGAGGCTTTATACGTTCCGATTGAGATAATCCTCCCCGTCGATCCTACTTTAAATGTACACGTTTCTTATTTTTCTAGTTATTTGATTCATTTAAAAATTAAAAATTTATTTGTTCATAAATTTTATTTTATTTATACGGTAAAATTTGTTTGCTCATTTATTGAGCCAGGTGAATCGAGAGAGGCTAAATAAAATATTTTTGTATTTATTTGTCCCATCAATTCTTCGTGTTTTACTGTACAAACATCTATTTGCTTGTGTGGTTATTATCTTACTCCTCCGATCCTAAATATTTTGTAGTATAAATTACACTATAAAAAGGTCTTATATTTAGGATCGAAGGAGTATCAATCAAGCATATGATTAAATTATTTTTATTTATTTGCTTCATTGTTTATGTAATTAAAGTTTTGGGAAGTTTTGTGTATTTTAACTATACCTGAATAATTGTACGATAAATGAAAATGAATGGTCAAGCAAAAAAATAAAAATCATGGCCAAAATGTACAAAAATTTTCTAAATTTTGAGTTGGTTACATAGCACCTCCCTAATTTTTAAAAGCTTAAATTAAAAATCCTGATATTTTATGTTTTGATTATTTACTCCCATACGGTTAAAATTACTGTTGAAGTTAAAAGTTCTTGACATGTCATAATTTTTATATTTTTTATTGCAATTCATATCATTTTTACAAAAATAATATTTTGCATTTGATATGTAATTTTAGGTATTTTATACTTTTTAATTTAAAAAAGACATGGTCAAATAATATTTTTAAAGCAAAATAGTATTAAAAAAAGTTGAAAATTGATATATTCCAATTCAGGCACTTAAAAAGTTGAAATCCAAGAAAAGGAAGTGATGCCCAATCTGATCTTTTGTAAATATAGTTAAATAACAAAAATGTTTTTGTATCAAAAAGTTTATTAACAAGTTGTAACTACAATGAAAAGTGTTGAACAATAAATGACAAGAAATGTACTGATAATGACAAGTTTGATAATTTTTTTTAAAAAATATGATACAAGGGTATTTTATTCATTTAACTAAATTTGCAAAATATCAAATTAACCATCACTTCCTCTTATGGAATTTTGACCTTTAAGTGTTTGAATTGAAGTATTATAATTTTCAACTTCTTTTTATGTCATTTTTTCTATCTTAAAATTTTTTTAAGAATTTTATATTAAGTATTTTTTTTAATTATAAAAATATTTAAAGTTTCATGTTAAATGCTAATTATTATTTAAATGATATGATATATAATAAAAAAATATAAAATTATGGCATGGTGCCCAAACCAAAGAGAGGGAATAGTTAAAGACAAGCAAAATTCCTTCATTTTTAAATGATTGTGTTTATTTTTACACCCTTCGAAATTTCAGGTGTCAAACACTTGTAGTATAAAATGTTTTTGTTAAAACTGCAAATTAATCCTTTGTAAAATTATAGTAGGATTAGAAAAATTTATAGATAGGAAAGAAGCATTGGAGAAAAATTCTTTGACAGCATTAGGCATTTCTTCAAACAAAGGGAATTAATGTTTTCTGTTAATGAGAGATTAACAATGTTAACATTAAGGGACTGAAAATACAGTTTGTGTCGCGAAATGATGCAGATATTGTGGTGAATGTTTGTGCTAGGAAATGTCAGGCTATTTCTTCTTTCCATAGTGAAGCTGTGGCTCTGTTCGAAGCTGCAGATTTGTGCATGCTGGTATTGCTGGAATTTTACTTGTAAGAAACATATGTGTGATTTACTTGGTTATGAATAGCAAGATATATAAACCCTTTTTTGGTTCAACTCACATTTTCCCTCCTCGTGCAATGCGCGAGGAGAATATGAAATGAAAAAAAAAAAAAATCAATTACAATATACAAATTAAACATTTTTAATAATTTTTAATTTTTTTTTAACACTTCGAGTCATGTGACTCAAGATTTCCGTAAAAGCATCTACACTTCTAATTGAATTGCTTCAGCAAAAATCCAAGAAAACTGTATCTGCAAGTCACATGACACTTAAATACTACCTCCAGTGTTTAATATAAGACCTTATTTGATTTTTGTTTTAGTCCTAAATATAATATCTCAATCTACTTTGTCTCTCATATTTATGTATTTTTCCCAAAAAGTTCTTCTAATAATAATAGTTCTGCCAATATACTGATTGGCAAAGATATTTTAGTAAGATAACATATTTATTGCAAATAACTAACTTAAATTATTTTCTTAATCTCTTCAAATTAGTCAATCAACTCTTATAATTAGGATAAGAGATAGTAGATGACAATGAGCAGTTTCAAGTTTAGCATGAAAATTACCATCTATGAGGTGGGCAAAATGTCCTAAATATAAAGAAGCCACTGATGAGCTTGGAGTGTGCCAGTTTCAACCCGCGATTGATTTGATATTATGTATTTACCATTTCCCTCATCATCAAGCCCAAAATTTAGAAGACAATCATTGTGATCAACAAATTAATTGAAGCTTTGCATCATGGGCGCAACACCAATTATTGTGATAATTTTTGCATCATTTTTTATATTTTTTCTCAGAATTTGATCATTCATGAATGAAGCGTGTATATACACACACTACTCTGGTTTTATTTATAAGTTATTTTTAACATGTTTTATATAAATTAAGAAAAATCTTAAACTTCATTAACTTCATTCAAAATTCAACAAATTTTAATTTTATTTCTATTAATATGCTTTATCTCGTGTAAATAAAGTCAACACAATAATAAATAATAGATAAAATTGTACATCCATATAAAAAATTTCTTTCAGTACCTCATAAATAGGACCGAAAAATATTTCTCTCTACCATATAAACAGGACCGGAGTATATATATAATGAATCTAAAAATTATATATTAATTTTTATTTTCATGTTTGAATTTAATTAATGTCTGGTGATTTGCGTCAAAATGAGCAGATCCTGACATGCTGGAGGTAGGAAATGGAGGAATGACCACTAATGAATACATTGTTCACTTTAGCTTATGGGCCCTTCAAAGGTAATTAATCTACATATTTTTTAGTTCATATATATATATATATATTATTGGTGTAACTAAATGTGGTTTTCACCAATTGGAATATGGATGAACACACTAAAATATACTCTTTTTATTTTGATCTTAAATGTAGAAATTAGATAACAATTTGCAGATATTAAAAAATTAATTAAATTAATTTTTTGTAAAAAATTGTGGTGATTTTTTAAAGTAACAATTATAATCATTTATGCTGTAAACTACCTTTTAAATCAAAAAAATTACAAATTTAAAAGATAAAATAAATTAAGATATTATGTTAAGGATCAAAGTAAATTTCTCTAGAGTTTAAATTTTATATATTCTTATAGAATGGACATGCATTTACACCCACACAACTTACACGTAACTGCATTATTAATAAACAGTGAACAATATATTTGACAAAAAACAATTTCATAATTAATTTCATAAACTCTATGTAATAAATTAAACAAGAGTCACGTTTAGTTTAGGAAAAATCGCAAAAAAAGATTTTAAAAATTAAAAAATTATATACAAGGATCCATTCACAAAATTGTTATCATTTGCTTATCAATTTCTATCAAAACCCTATTTGTAATTTTTCTATTTCTAAGATCTTTTTTTTAATGATTTTCTCTTTAAATTATATAATTTAGAAGCCAAGTAAATTGCAATTGCTTGCAGGCTCCACTTCTTCTAGGTTATGATGTTCGGAATGAGTCAAGAGACTAAAATGATACTACCTCCTATATTTAATATAGGACTTTATTTGATTTTTATTTTGGTTCTAAATATAAAACTCCAATCCATTTTGTCTTTCATATTTATCTATTTTTTTTCAAAATAATCTTTCTAATAACAATAGTTCTAACTAATAAATTTAATTAGCAAGGATATTTTTAAAAAAAACAACACCTATTTATTACAAATAACTAACTTAACTTATGTCTTTAATCTACTCAAATTAGTCAACTAGCTCCTATATTTAGGATGAGGTAGTAGTAACAAATGAGGAGGTTATTGCATTTAACCAAGGTGATGATGATTTATTACTCACACTTTTGTTTATGTTTTTATTTTGAAAATGTAATTAAACTTTAAATTGAACTGTATTGGAATAAAGGTGCAATAGATTTTCAATTAAAAATTTTCCCTACACTATTTTTAAAAAACAAAATTTTTTTTCTCATTTCTTCTAACACTCTTCTTCAACAGATCCATTGGGTGTGCAAGGTAAAAGGCTAGGGTTCGCCATTTTGATGTTGAGGTAAAATGCTAAACTACATCACTTATAGTATTCTATTCATGTTGATGAATTCAGGCATACCTAAAGTGTTGAATGATCTCAAATTCAGATAGCCACGAGCGGAAGAAGTTCGATCATGGTGTTGGAGTCAGACTGTATGTTTCACAGCAAATGCACCAGAGAGAGTTTTCTTGGAACACAGAACGGAGGGAGGAGAGTGAAAACAAAATCGGGGGGCGCACTGAACTGATCCCCCTTCGGTTTTCTAACTGCATGTTTTTGAATTAAAATAAAACTGCCTCCACCGTCCAACTGTTCCTACTTTTTTGGCAAAATATAGGAAAAAGCAAAAATCACAGTTAGAGACCCATAAGTTTTGCTATTCATACTAGAGTCCTAAATGTCAATGGGCCTGGGTCCAATCCACCAAGGGTGGACTGGCCCATTTTCTTACATCTCCCACTCACACTTGGTGGATTAGATGTCGCTGGTCTAGTCTTTTTATCAATGAACAAAAAACCGGACCGGACCGGATCGGCCGGTTCAGACCGGAAACCGGTGAATCGGTTAGTTGTCCGGTCTGGTTTAACAACAAAACCAGAAGAAAATCGAACAGGAAAGAACCAGTGCAAACCGGTTACAACCAGCCACAACCGGCCAGCCTGCTGGTTTTGATGGTTTAGCCGGGTTGTTTGAAAGAAGAAGAAGAAGAACCTGAGACTGTTTCCCGCACACAAACAAAAAAAAAT